CACACACACACACACACACACACACACACACACACACACACACACACACACACACACAGCAACTAGGCCCACGTAAAATAATTTTGCTTTAAAGCAGCCAAGGACACTCTGACCCCCAGGCGCACACCTTCTATAGTTCCTGCTGCTTCTTGCCTTTTAACGCCATGGCAAGCATCTCTGCCCTGACATGAATGGAACTACTGTAGTTGGAGACTGTGAGTCAAATTCATCCCTGAGGAAACTCCACTTCAATGGAGATAAGCCAAGGCTGAATTTGTCCGTCTGTCTAATAGGTGACCGCAGCAGTTCCGCGGCCCTCTCGATAGGCAATTCTGTATTTTAACACTACTCAGATTATTGCACTTTACAGTAAAAATATTTGTTAGAAGGCTGCAGGAATAAAAAGAGTATATACCAAGCACCAGGTCCCCAGGAAACATTTCAGCTGAAAACAATGAGACAGCAGAAGTAAAAAAGAGGAGAGATTTCGTTTGTCTCTCAAAATCCACTGATTATTATAATAATTACAACTTATTTTATTTTCCTCATTACAAATAATTCCTTACAAATTAGAAATCAATACACCTCTATTTACTAGCAATTTCCCTACAGGCAAGCACAGCTTCTGCCTCCAGCAAAATAAGCACTGATAGATAACACATAAAAATCAAAACAGTCATCAAGAACAACCCCAATCTTAAGAAAAAATCAGAAATGTATTCTGTATTATATGTATACATCCACCAGCCACCAACATGCTATACGAGACGAAAGCCTTAACAACTACTCTTCCCATCAACGTTCTCTCCTTTTTGAACCCAAATCTAGTTTTCTATTATAGGTACTCATATGCATATGTGTGCGCACACACCCAGAGTCTTGCACGGCTCAAGAAATGCTCCATTTGCTAACCCCTCAACAATCCAAACAACTGTAAAATGTACACAGTAGAAAAAACAAACATTTCACAATAAACTAAGGGTTTTTTAAGCATTAAAGTATTGCGTGCTCTTTCATAGCAACAAAACAGTTGCTCTTGAACAAGGAGAAAGGCTCCAGTTAGTTAACACCAGTATAAACAAGAGCACACAGTTGGAGTGTATTCCATTCCAGTGTGCTCTCTCAGGAGTACATGGTCAGCTGCAGCCACTCTTGAATGTTCATGTTCACCAGGCCGTCTCCATCTTGGTCCAGGGATTTGAAGGCACGGAACATGCCATCCAGTCGCACCAAGCAGCTGATGAAGTTATTGAAATCCATGCTCCCATTTTCATCGGCGTATCTGCGAATGATCATCTGGTAGAGCTGTTCGTTCAGCTGGAACCCTGCAGCCTTGAAGGCATCTGGCAGCTGAGCACTCCCAAGAGATCCCGACTGGTCGGAGTAGTGTTCTTTGTACACGCACTGCCACTTCTTGATGTTGTTCCACAGGTACTTAAACTCCTCAAAGCCCAGCTTGCCGGTTGTGTCACTGTCCATGACTGACACCATGCTCCGGCATGTGTCCAGGCTGAAGCCCTCTGTCTTCAGGTTTTTATGTCTGGCCACCACCTTGTTCAGAATGTCCATCAACTCGGTGGCGCACACTTCCATGTCATCTCCAGCCAGCTGGACAAAGAGTCGGCGGAACTGACGGATCTCCTCGCTCTCGCCGGCTTCCACATTCATGAAGTGGCTGCGAGGAGTTGGGGGTGGCTCTGGGGTGTACTGAGCTGCTACCTCACTGATAATGTTGACGAGTCCTCCAACGAGTCCTCCAAGATTCCCTCTTCCTTGTCCACCTCCTGCTAAAAGACCTCCCAGGCCTCTTGCAAGGCCCCCTCCACCACTGCTCCCACCACCAAGTAAGGCTTGAGCGAGAAACATGGTGAATGATTTACAGAGAATTAACCAGATGAGAGCTGAAAATCCTGCAGCCTCTGAGAGCAGTAATGGAGTCTGAGCTGGGTGTGAGCAAAATACACATTATCTGTCTGAAGTATTAGTATTCCCCATGCCCAGGCACGTCTGATGCAGCCTTTGGTTGCCTGAATTCCATCAGCTCCCTGCAGCCACCCTCTGCTTTTGACAAGTTATAAAGTATTTCTCTCTCTGAACGCTTGCTTTTTATTTTACAGATCAGATTTGTTTTATCTGATGTGAAACCATTTTAGGGTAATACTGAGGGGTTGAAAACCATACAGCAAAATTTTCAAAATGTCCTTGGTGGTCCTTTGAGCAACGCAACATTAGAAAGGACCACAGCCAAGGTTAGACTTCTAACTTAACTTCCCAAGGAGATCTGCTCAGTTTACCATGGTTGTATCTGTCCCTGCATTGTCCTCTCCAATGTCTTTACCTTTGTTGGAGTTCAGAAATTAAAGTAACTTGTTTGTCCAAATAGGTGCAGCGTGGCTAGCAACAATACAAGATTGCCTAACCAGCCATGCCAATGGGTCTCAACCTCCCACTTACGGTGATGGCCACAGCCTAACGGTCAGGATAGTTTAGTTTCATTTTTTGTCTGTAGCCTCTCTGCTAAGACTGAAGAAGAATCAGGTCTGATGGGGGTTTCTATATCACGGGCCCCTGTCCACTCATTTTACTATCTGAGATTTTGATGGCCTTTTGGTGGCTACAAATTTGGGCGAGGCTCAAGTCAGTGACCTGGAGCTGAGAGTTCCCATAACTCATTTCCCTTCCTTCCCCAAAGAGCTGCGTTCTTGCGTGCAAGTTGAGTATTTTGAAATTAAATTAAAAAAAAAAAAGCAGGCAGGAAGAACAAGGTATTGATGAGACGCTTGAACCAGACTTACAAGAGCATCAGCAGTAAGCTTGCTATCCTGTCAAAGACCTGGGATTTTAAGCGTAACTGATTTCATTTGGGGCAAGTGGATAGAATTTTCAGTGAAAATAAAAATCTCAACTACTCTACTGCTCTGTAGGACCCTGCTACATGGAGCCATACCGTAATCTGGTAATCAGCACCACACTGTAAGCATGGAGAGCGATCCTCAAATGACAACAGTTTACTCAGCATACGGGAAAGTCCCAGCTTGGGGAAAAGTACGACCTTAGCCAATAGTGTCTCTCTCTAGGAAACTATGGTCATTACTGAACAGTTGGGATTAAATATGGTCTATGGCAATGAAATGTGTAGATCAGGCACTTTCAATACAGTCAGTGTTTTAAACAGAAGAAGAAGAAGAAATTGGACCCTTCATTTTCCGCTGATGAATTTGTTCAGACCTGGAGAATCTCAAAACAAGTTTTGTCAGTGCTATATGGCACAATTCCTTGATAAGGAAGTTTACTAAAAGCAGGACCAGGAAAAACATGCAAAGTTTGTGAAACTCCCAAAATAAAACGTGAACAACAGATGCTTGAGTGCTTGCAGCCAGGGCCGGCTTTAGGACGTGCGGGGCCCGATTCGAAAGACCCACCGCCGAAATGCCGCCAAAGACAGCGGCAGCGACTGAGCTGCCGCCGAAGATAGCAGCGGCAATTTGGCGGCAGCTCAATCGGTTTCCGGCGGCACTTCGGCGGAGGGTCCTTCCTCGGCAGCAGTTGTCTTCCGGGGCCTTACTTGCGGGGCGCCTCTTCCGGATGCTGCGGGGCCTGATTCACAGGAATCGGGGGAATCAGCCTAAAGCCGGCCCTGCTTGCAGCATACCATGCTGATTGTACATAGCACACAATGCATAAATGGCAACCTTTCAAAGTACAGCATGTTTCCACAAGCACGAAGTGCACTCGTATTACATGTACTGGGCTCCCTCAGTTACCTGCAGCCTTACAATCCTGTCAATAGGATTTTGGTTGGCAATTTACTCCTTTTGTGAGCTAGATTTATGCTTGCAAATATCTTTAGGGAAAATGATTCTTAAGACAATGTTACTAAGACACCTTATTTCAGTCAGTGCCATAAATCCTTACCCTATCGAAGAGTAGGAACAGCTCTTTGAGAACATCTGAGACAGGCAGCTTCAAGTGCTCGGCAAACTCCTCCATTCCAATTCTTCCCCCTTTGGAGGCATTTGCAATAGCAGCAAATGTATCCAGTTGATCTCGGATAGGATCCCATTTTAGACTATAAAAATCAGAGGAAGACATAATTAACTTCTGTGTAGCAGGGCTCAAGAGAGATGGAGTTTTAGTAGCAAGAGAGTGATTGCAGTTTCCACAGCAGAAAACTGGATAGCGTGGAGTATGTAGTACACTGAAAAGGTTGTGCTTTCAATGTGCGATATTTCATACTGAATCAGCATTTAAAAACCTCTGAAAACTATTTTTTTTTTTAATAAAACTAATTCTGTGCTTAGGTATCTCAGCACTCACTGCACAGAAGATGAAAGTTTTCAGAAGCATAGGCAACATCTGGCAACAGAACTAAAGACAACATTTCACTGCCTTAAATTTGAATTCCACCCAGCCATCACTGTTTCATGTCACAGCATTAGCTCCCACATGGGAGAGGGCACCTTTTAGCTCTGCAACTAAGCCGCTGGCTGAGTAATGATACTGATGCACCCCAGAACGCATCTCATTGTCAGGAGAAGTGACAGCACCCTATCCCCAACACAGAGGAAGCATGGTCCCTTAATTTGGGTAGTAGGCGGCACTTGGGAGATGCAGGTTCAATTTCCGGCTCTGGTACAAATTTCCTGTGTGACTCTGGGGCAGTCACTTGGGCTCTCTGTGCCTCAGCATCCCAACTGTGAAATGGGGATAACAGTACTTCCCTATCTCACAGGGCTGCTGTGAGGATAAATACATTAAAGATTGTGAGGTGCTCAGATACTACTGTAGCAGAGGGCTATAGAACTACAATAGACAGATTCTTACTTCCTCACACAGGCACATAGTCCAAGCCATAATTTAGTCCCAGTGGGCCTTTTCCATCTCTAATTTCTAGAGAGACTATATTACTTTTCAAATCCTAAAATACATTATGCGAGATCAAATAATCAACCAGGCAATTTGTCCTCCGTTCATAGAATCATAGAACTGGAAGGGACCTCGAGAGGTCATCTAGTCCAGTCCTCTGCACTCATGGCAGGACTAAGTAATATCTAGACCAGGGGTCGGCAATGTTTGGCACGCGGCTCGCCAGGGTAAGCACCCTAGCGGGCTGGGACAGTTTATTTACTTGCTGACGCGGCAGGTTCGACCGATCGCGGCCCCCACTGGCCGGGGTTTGCCATCCCTCGCCCGCGCCGCTTCCCGCCGCCCCCATTGGCCCGGGACGACGAACCCCGGCCAGTGGGGGCTGCGATCGGTCGAACCTGCCGCGTCAGCAGGTAAATAAACTGGCCCGGCCTGCTAGGGTGCTTACCCTGGCGAGCCGCGTGCCAAACGTTGCCGACCCCTGATCTAGACCATCCCTGACAGGTGTTTGTCTAACCTGCTCTTAAAAATTTCCAATGATGGAGATTCCACAACCTCCCTAGGCAATTTATTCCAATGCTTAACCACCCTGAGAGTTAGGAAGTTTTTCCTAATGTTCAACCTAAACCTCCCTTGCTGCAATTTAAGCCCATTGTTTCTTGTCCTATCCTCAGAGGTTAAGAAGAACAATTCTTCTCCTTCCTCCTTGTAACAACCTTTTATGTATTTGAAAACTGTTATCATGTCCCTTCTCAGTCTTCTGTTCCCCAGACTAAACAAACCCAATTTTTTTCAATCTTCCCTCATAGGTCATGTTTTCTAGACCTTTAATCATTTTTTGTTGCTCTTCTCTGGACTTTCTCCAATTTGTCCACATCCTTCCTGAAATGTGGCACCCAGAACTGGACACAGTATTCCAGTTGAGGCCTAATCGGTGCAGAGTAGAGCAGAAGAACTACTTCTCGTGTCTTGCTTACAACACTCCTGCTTATACATCCCAGAATGATGTTCGCTTTTTTGGCAACAGTGTTACATTTTAGCTTATATTAGCTTATTTAGCTTGTGGTCCACTATGACCCCCAGATCCCTTTCCGCAGTTCTCCTTCCTAGGTAGTCATTTCCCATTTTGTATGTGTGCAACTGATTGTTCCTTCCTAAGTGGAGTACTTTACATTTGTCCCTATTGAATTTCATCCTATTTACTTCAGACCAATATTACTGTTTCTGGAGAACACGACACAATGTCTTGTGCAGCTCTAAAGTCATTAAAGAACTCTGAATAGCAAAACCTCTCTCACTTCAGTTTCTTGCTGATTTTGGTAAACTCCACCAGCCCTGCTTCCATGGGCAAGGTCAGCTGTCCTGCTGAAATCATAAGTCTGCAGTCTTCAAAAGTATGGTCTGTAACTGGCACATTCAAAGCCCTGAAATGTAGTAGAAAGACAAACATCTTAACAAAGAGATTTTTGAATCTTACTCCCCCGCCCCCTCTCTCCAACCTTCCTCGGTGCTGGTCTCAAAGGTGATACATAAACAGCCAAGATGAGAATTTATCCTTGCACCACTTAAGCGGTTAGTATAGCTGCTGGGTCAAATTCTGTTCATAGTTATGCCAGTGCAAATCCACAGTCATTACACTGGAGTCAAGCCAATTGTTTGAGATTTACACTGTTGGAACAGAGCAGAATTAGGCCCGTTAACCACAGTAGAGAAAACTGAATCTGTGCACTTATGTCTTGTCATGCAAATGATTACCCCCGCTTTACACCAATTAAATGCATTATAGTGGAGCACAGAACAATTAACTTATTACTAGTCAGTAATAATTAGCCAATTAGGAACTGTCTAGTTACAGAGGCTTTTACACCTTATACAATTAATTTAGAGATTCAAATACGAAACCTTGGACTCAGGTGAATCATGGCTTTGTCAATCACTCCCTGAAATATTTCAGATCCCTAAAACAGTTCAAAATATATTTGAACCAGTGCCCAGGATATATAAGAACAGTTCTTGGTAAGTGCTTGAGAATTTTTTTTATATGGATACATACGTTGCCATGGTATTACGGACTCTGTTGGCAAAAAGAGTAGGATCCTTTTTCTCTTCCTCAGTAGGAACATGGACAGGTAGAAACTGAAAAATATAATTTATTTAGTAAATCTGCATATCCATTAACTTATTACTGATAACACATTTTATTACTGATAGGGTTTTGCATCATAAAGGGGAAAAATGATCAGTCAGGCAATTAAGTAATCAGCCACTAGAGGTCACCATAGCCTTAGAAATAGCTCAGTTTTTTTTTTTTTTTTTTTTTTACTTACCCAAACAAAACACTACACAGCAGATTATTTGTAGATTTGTTCCACGGCTGCTACACGTTGGTTTGGTCAGATCTGTTGTAGCTGCTTTAATATGAAATCCAAAACTAAAGGGGCAAATAGCCTAAATACACAGTTCTGCATAAAATTAGGGTTGAGCTCCAGTATTTAGGCCTCAGGGACTGTACACACACTTTTAAAACCCAATGCCCTAAATACCTAGGTACCTAGTACTACATTACAACTTAAATTCAGTCTATACTAAGGCTAATCTGTTGAAAACATATTGATGTTACAGCTAAATGGTAGAACTTTGAGGACTGGTATTCTATATCTTGTTGTTGGAAAAGGGCAGATGCCCCAACAATAGTGACATGGAGAAATAAATGATTGGAAATCTTTCCAATGGGAAAAAAAAACCAGATAAATGGTTTTATTTCAGGATGAAGTCAATTTTATAATATCTGTTTGCTATTTTTGGAATTTGAACAAAATACACACACAGATAAGATAATAAGAAGCTGACCAAACACTAATGAATCTTGCAAAGATCTTTTTTTAAAATATGTGTGTGGAGAGTTCATAGTTGCCAATAATGATAAAATAAAAAGTTAAATTTGTCGAAACATCATTATATAACTATCCATTCTCCTGCTCTTTTTCTGTAGCAACTGGAGATCAACAAGAGTTAGATAAAAATTGTGTTCTTTCTTAGGGTCAAGTTTTGTCTTCTGAGCCACAGCACTCAGAAATAGGTAATAAATAGTGAGACTGAGACTTAAGTTATTAGACATATTTGGGTGATAGAAAATTTCCAAAAGATGGGTTCTGGACCCCAAAATGGGAATTACTAGCAAAAGACCTGAAGTCAGTTGTATGCTGCTATTTGAAACAGTTGAGTCTTTATCCACTTTGGGGGCATAAATCCATTAAATTTATGAATATGATTTAACCAATTTGAAGCTGACTGTTTAAAGACTTACAACTAATTCAAAGATCCAAATGCAAAATCTGTTTCTTAGGGAAAACAGGTGGTGTGCAGATATCCCTGAAATAGCTTGTGTCCCCAAAATATTGAGTAGATTTATTATGAAATTATAAGAAGGGTTATTGCATTGGAGTAATTTACTAGAAAAGAAGCATTCTCAATTATATTCAATTTTCTAAATCAATGGGGCATCACCAAAAGGTGAGGACTTGGTAACTTAGTTTACAAAATACATTTTGAATTATTAGCACATCATAATAAATGTGCATAATTCTACTACCACAATAAAAGTCAGTCTTTATTCTGAGACATCAAATAAAGAGAAAAAATAACGAGTGAATTTGCATCAGAGTGAAAATAATGTCTTTCTTGTTATTAAAAAATCTATGTTTACTGTTAAGGATTTCAATAAATGCGGTGTTCGCATCTGTGATTCTTTAAAACATGTCGACAAAGGAGCACAATGAAAATGGGCTTGGTTTGTGTAAATATAGTTGACTTCCGTATAAAACAAACAGGCAAAAGTTCATTTTCAAAGCAATGTGGTGGGAAAGGGATGCAGAACTCCTGTTTAATTCAGTGTGCTGTTTGCACACAGCCCTGTATATTAATTTAGTAATTTGCCATATAATGGTTTCTGTATCTGTTACAATATATTACAAATGAGTATGTACTTTCTGTATAAACACAGCCCTAACAGTCAGTTTTCTTTTGCAGTGTGGCGAGCCGTCTCCTTCCTGGTGCCTGTGTGCAGTATGCACTGGCTTACTGCCTGTGAGCATGTCTTTTCAAGTGGCTGTAACAACCAACTACTTCCAACTAAAAGAGTGCTCTCAAACGGCAGGTGGTCAAGTGGCAGAGGTCTGCGTTTCTGGCACTGAAGGTCCTAGAACTGATCCCTGAGGATCACTACGCACTCACTTTGTTCTGAGTCTGATACCCCACCCTGCCCATTATTAAGTTAACTCCTCCTCCTCCACGTGTCCTGAGTGAAACAGTGGTTAACTCTCTTGGGCTAGCGAAGCAAAGCACTGACATCCTCTGCAGTCACAGTTATTCACACTATTCATAATCCCTGGCTGCAGGCACTTGAGTAGGATGAAGTCAAAACACATTTGAACAATCCAAAAATGTGAACCCTAGACATGATTAATCTACGTAAGCCTGCCCGTTTGTGTCTCAGGTCCTGGTATGAAAGAGCAAGCTTACTCTTCACCAGCTGAGACTACACCTCTACCTCCTCCAAAGGCAATGGTGATGATGTTTGAGACTCACTACATGGGACTTGCCCATAACCACACACACTCTGGAGAAGGACTTGATTTAAATTTTCCCATCCTGTGACTGGGGCTAGCACAACTACTTTCCAGCTGACGATGAATAAGTACTCTCTTCTAGTCAGAAATTCCTGAGCATTGCAGAGGGAAATTCTAGCCCTGCAAGATAAAATCACTAAAGTAATGAAAATATCTCCCTGACCTATTTTTGGCCTGCTCCCTCCCTCCTATGCTATTCACATGTATATCTTTTGCAAGAAGTCTGCCTATCAGATTCTCAGCTTAACTGTTTCACGTCCAATATATACAATTCATTGGGATATGTTCATGATATGTTCTTAAAATACAACTGGTACATTGCTGTGCATCTCTGTACAGAAATATATAGAAGCTCATGGTGATGTCTAATTTATTTTAATTAATTTATTTATTCAATTTATTTCTCTCTGCTGGGGGAGATGTATATTAGTGAAATACTTCATGTCTAATTTTTATAATTTTAGAATTTGAGGGCAGATTTGTTTTATTACAGGTGCACTAGCATTAAATTCTGAGACAGCAAGAGTCCTTTTTTAAAAAAAATACACAGAACAGAACAGTGTTAACTATTTTCTTTCTCTACATGTCTAATAAAGACATTTATTCAAATGAGTTACAGGTATGCTGTATTTTCTTTTGCATTACACAGCAATTCATGCATATTAATACCAACAAGGAAACTTGCTAACACACATCAATTACTTGGAGACCCATGGCTAAGTCTTAAATTTTGAAAATAAACAAACAACAGAGATGGCACTGTATTCCACCCAAATCAACTTTGTTCTTCTATTTAACAGGTATAATTTAGCTTATTACTATATCAAGAAGTATTAACAAATATTGTAAGTGCTGTGTAGAATCCTTTGCCAAAGTAATTTAGCTGTAGTGAGATAGCCCCTCACTACTACACTTGGTTAGTAAGTCTTTGCTGGGAAGTGAGTGATCCATTTTTGTGTTCATCAAGATCTGAGACGTGCATGTATTTTTCTCTCTCTTATCAGATACACCTGTTTGTACTGTACACATTAATAAAGTTCAGAGTAAGCAATAAGATAACAGGTTCACTAGACAAGGCACACTCTTTTTTGAGAATGAAAACACTCAGTTTAAATCACTGAATTCCTTAAAAGTATTTAGCTCCGAGCTGTAGGGAACTATTACTGTAAACATGTTACACAGATCACATGGCAACTGCCCTGTGATGAGATAGCATTCTACTGCCCTCCAGGGTGGGCGGCGGTGAGGGAGAACAAGTTACTTTGTAATTCAACCTGTTCAGTCTTTACAAGCACAGTGAGTCAAATGTTTGTGAACAATGGTATTTATTAGTGATTTTATAACAAATACGCTTTTGACCACTTTCACATATGGGCTCTTGTCAAAAGACATGTCAACACGGGCAGCAGATTAAAAGCTGTATCCACCATGTTTCCCTGTAAGGTGAGCTAATCTATTAAGACACGAACTGCACTTATTGCCAAAAGACATTTCTTTTCTGTTAGATATTGATAAAAAATACAGGAACAGTATGTTTATCAAAAAAATCCAAACTTAATAACGTTTCTCCAATTCTTACCTCAACTTCTACCCTCGTTAACGGCTGGCAAAAAGTCATCACACAAAGTTCTTTGCTAGGGAGGGGGAAAAAGATTTTTTTTTTTTTTAAGTAACAATCTACTTTCAGCTGACTTGCAAATACCATTTGTTAACATTTTTTCAGTCTCTGTTATTTCTGACAATCTCTATACCCCCTGAGCTGAACCTTCTTGAGATGCTGCCTTAGGTTTTCTTCTTCATAGGGCTGGTTCCTGCTCCTATTAAAGTTAAAGGCATTTTAGCGGTATTTATGCTGCAAGCTCTTCAGAGCAGAGAACGTGTTACACTTTCTAGTGCCATATGCATTTACAGCACTACATGTGTAGTTATCACACACACATTCATCATGCTTTACATAAAGTCAAGAGAGTTCACATCTTGCTAGCAATTTTTTATTTTTATTTTTTTAAACAAGGCTGAAGATGCATTGGGGGACACGGCGAATGATGACTGGATGCCTTTCTGGAAGATATTCAAACCCAAGCTGTTTTTTACTCATTACAGGAGTAACTGGTCTGTGTCATGCAGGAAGTCAGGTTAGATCTAACAGTTCCTTCTGCACTTAATCTATGAATTTATAAGAGGTGAAGTTTAGTGGCTTGGCAAACAGGAAATCCTGCGTTTTAGCCTTGCCTCTGGCTCTTACGCCCTGTATGAACTTAATCTCTGTGTGTTTGTTCTCCCATATGAAAAGTGAGGCTAATACCTATTGGCCTCCCTCCCAGGATCAGAGGAAGGATTGGTTAAGCTTTTACAGGTATGTGGATTTTGCACATTTCCAGTACCATCTAAATGCTAACTATTATTATAACAAGAAACCACCAGTGCTCTTTGGGTCTTGAATGCTTTAAAAGGCAGTATGAAGTTTTAACATGGGGGAAGTTGGGAAATGAGGTATGGTTAACCACTTCCACATTTGACTGCAAAAGTGTTCATTCTGTTAGCACTTTCAAGCTGAAAGAGAGAAGCATTTACTTGTAACCTTAAATAAAGGCAAATCCTACAGACAACTTCATTCTGTTTGGCAAGAGTTTTCTGAGAAGGCCGGGGATAGAGAAGAGGTGGTGGAGTGGGAGGGCCAGCTGGACTTTTCTCATGAATTTTAACAGATGACTTAAAATTATAAAACAGTTTTAGGCACTTGTTCCACAGGTTTAAAGAGTGACACAAAAGGAGTGAGTGAAAACAGAATGGGGGCAGACAGGTTTCAGGGAGGGGCCAAGAAGTGTTCTACCAAATGCATGCCAGCGCTGCAAGATGCAATCGATTAGCTCTTTTATTAGACCTTCCTGCACTATTTCCAGATTGTGAAACAAGGGAGACATTATTCAGGATATCCTGAAATTTCATTCAAGGGCCTACAGAGTCTAAATCACCCCTTCGCCTCTGCTCTCATTTCCTGCTACTCTTCCTCGTTCACCCACACCCCTGCTTTTCCCCAGTCTTCTTCCCTTCATCCTCTCCTCTCAAAGTTTTCAGCCATGTATCCCCCAGGCTTGATTCACCAGCGCTCATATCTACTCTGGCAAATCTTAAGTTCTTAGGTCACATCCTAGTAATCATAAGGGTTTATGCCAGCAAGAGAAGTGAGAGCAACTAATAGAGGAACCCAGTAGGGGAAGCAGAAGATAGAGTCTAGCTTACATATAGCAAGACATTTTCCCATAGACTCTGGTTTACTAATTGGCCCCCATAGAGGGAGTTATTTTTTTATGCTATTATCAGGCTAAAGAGGTTTCCTTTCTAGTTAAAAACTGATGTCATATTTGAGTAAGGAGTGCAGCTTTAAAAGGTTTGATTACATTTTCAGTTATTCAAGTATTAAATCTAGGTTTTCAGTTTTATCTCTGTGCTTACACCCACCTATGCCATTTCACATTGTCCTTTTACACAAGAAAGTGTAATATCCTATTAAAACGAGGAGTCCGGTGGCACCCTAAAGACTAACAGATTTATTTGGGCATAAGCTTTCGTGGGTAAAAAACCCCACTTCTTCAGATGCAGGGAGTGGAAATTACAGATGCAGGCATAAATATACTGACACATGAAGAGAAGGGAGTTACCTTACAAGTGGAGAACCAGTGTTAACAAGGCCAATTCAGTCAGGGTGGATGTGGTCCACTCCCAATAACTGATGCGGCCTGCATCTGTGATTTTCACTCCCTGCATCTGAAGAAGTGGGGTTTTTTACCCACGAAAACTTATGCTCAAATAAATCTGTTAGTCTTTAAGGTGCCCCCGGACTCCTCATTGTTTTTGTGGATACAGACTAACACGGCTACCCCCTGATACTTAATATCCTATTAGTTTATCATCATGTTCCTTTTAAAACTCCCTCTCTCCAATATATTTTTATTAACATTTATACAGAGTTCATTTACTTATGCTATTGTTAAATAAGTTCTGGGATCTTCCATGTGTATTGTGTAATTGTGTGCCCAAATATGCAATTCTGGCAGATCCCATTAGCACCCATTTGTTTCCAGCATTTTCTTTTAAATGTATTTAGAAAATTCTTTTCTAGCATCATCCCTTCCTAAGACACGTGAAATAATTGGCTTAAGAAATGGCTTGATGGATATGGTCTAATTACAAGGATCTAGTATAATTTTGTACAGAACAAATGCTCTGGAACAAAGGAAAAGCACACGGTTTACGTCTACATTAGTCAAACTGAATGGGGAGGAAGATTTTGAGGATTCAGTACTTGAAGTCCCTTTGCAGACTGCCTGTTTACAATATCCCAATCTTCTCACCTATTTCTCTGATAAATTTGACCCATACTTTTCATTAATCTTAATATTTCTAGTGTGCCCATGTCTGTGATATCCAAGCTGTCACTTTTCAAATGCAACTTCTTTCTTAAGGCAAGAAAAATAGGGCTGAGCCCTAAATCAGGAGCCAGGAAGAGGAAAAGATAACATATGTAGTTGGGAGTCACATGAATGGAAAAGTGGTTCAGAAATTGAGTCTCAAGTGATCTGCATGAAAGTGAAGACCGTTGTTCTTGTAAAAGGTCTGTTTTATTGTGCTTGAATATGGTTCTTAAGTTTATGGGCAAGAAAAGGCAGTTTCTTGAGTGACTCAAGACACTTGAGGTAATACACACCCATCCACAGTATTATTTTTATTACCATACCATCTAAGTAATAAACTAAGATACTAAAAAAATAAGCTCATGTAATAATCACACACATTCAAAGCCTATAAAAAAAAATCTACATTCCATCCTTCCACCAGCAAATCCAGTATGCGATATATGAACAAAAACAAGGATTTTCCCAGGAACAACTCACACTGTAGGCAGTGGTTGTTTGGGACTACTGAAATTAAAAAAAAAAAAATAATAATAAATCAGGCCACTTGCTTAGGAGTGCTTATAGGCACCTATTTTTGAAAATCTTAGCCTTAAATCTTAGCTGCTATTAAGAAAATTCTACTTTCTCTACTTGACTTTCAAAAAAGAAATCTTTCTTACCATGTACAAGTTGTCTGAATGGAATTTTATAGAACAAGTGTCCAGGTTGGACAAAATATTAGAGGAAATTCCTTTATTAGCAACGAGAAGATCTAGATCATCAACTGGTCAGACTACACCAAACATGTAAATACTGGAATCAACCAATGAACTGAGGACATCATGACTAAAATGCTCCTAAGACATACTTAAGAATAGTTCTCCTTGGTTATTTCATGTAAATATATTTGAACTGAAAAAAAATTCTATACTACATTGGAATTTTTATGCATTTTCATTTCAGTACTACTATATAAAAATTCTGCAAAACGATACACAATGTTTCTACTGAGGTTTTATAAATAAAATATATGGCGTCAAATATTTAAGCTTTAATATGCTCAGTTGCATGAGCACAATTTGGAATCACTTATTAGAAAGCCACCTTTGTTAAGCTATTGCCCTTTGTTGGTCTCTGAGGGTCTCCCTCGAAGAGTTTTCACTGACTATTAGTATCTGAAATGGAAAATCTCTCTTCATTGGAATCTCCTAAAGCTAAAGGCACTCTTGTTTCATTGTGCAAGATGAAAAGTACTGTGAGAGTCTGTATATAGAAAGACTGTCTCTCTGTATCTGATGAAGGAGAGGAAGAGATGTTTGCTTTGTCCTGGCCTCTCTTTATCTACTGTATCTTGGGCTGAAACTTCAAGTCAGATAGAGAAATGAGTATGCTGGAGGTTAAAATGACACTAAAGAAAGATAAAAATCAAGCAAATTGCTGATGCCTGTGACTTTTCAGCAGTGACAGTCCAAAAGAAAAAGGAAACAAAAACGTTAAGAATTTCACTTCCATGTCTGCTTCACTGTATGTGAAAAAAGCAAAAGCCAGGAGAAGACTAACCAAATCAACTTTTGACAATATGCACAGTTATTTAACTGCAACATTTGCTTCTTCTAGAACAGTTATTATTCTGGTGTTACTAGCAACCAGAAAATCCAGAACTGAACTTTTTTACTATCTGTGGGAACCATCCTGATCTAGCTACAATGAATATTCCTTGGACACTCTACTGCAGGGGCAGAAGCTTTGCATTTATAAAATTTAATGCTAGAATAACTGGAAAGAATTATTTGGGAATGTTACGAACGCAATGCACCTGCAGCTCCACATACAATAGGGCTCGGTTTTCTTCCACTTTCACCCTTTGCACACCAGTTTAAAACTCTTGACTTCACTGGAGTTACTCTGGATTGATACCAATATAAGCAAGGGGATCCTCAGGGTGATATAACTGGGAAATGACAGATCCTTACAGGACAGAAAAATAAAAACAAGTACAAAACTTGCTGCCATAATAATACCTAGCTCTTATATAGTGCTTTTTATCAGTAGATCTCAAAGCTCTTTACAAAGGAAGTTAGTATCATTATCCCCTTTTTAATAGATGGGGAGACTGAGGCACACAGAAATGATGTTATTTGCCCAAGGCCATCCAGCAAACCAGTGGCAGGGTCAGGAACAGACCCAGGTGTCTTGAATAGCAGTTTAGTGCTCTATCAACTAAGAGATTAAACACTGGAGCATGTCACATAATGTCAGTATGACCCCCAACTACATTCCATCAGAAGAACAAACCAAGAAATGTGTTCCTATGGACTTAACAGGGCTGGTTTGGTCATTGCCAGTGTATTTATTAATGGGAGAAGTTCCTGTATGTTGTTTTTAATAGGGTTAGAAAACTTACAATGAATAGCCTTGCCATGTCCAGGTCACAGTATCCTAAAGAAAAACAGAAATGTATGACAAGTCAAACAAGACGGGAGAACAGACATGATACAACAGAACATTATAAGCATACAATTGGGTGAAGCAGAGGATGTTTTACTGTCCTATAAAAAATGTTAATGTGTCTGGAATCCATAGCCTTATAAATATTTTCACCAGCGGCTGCATTGCCATAGTATGAAAAATGAAACAGAGAAAAGATTAAACCCATGCATTAGTTTGCCCAGGCAGTTTTGTACTGACTGATGTTTTACATCACCTAGATTCTTACTGAGCTCCCATTAAAAGACTTCACTGGGAGTTGACACTAGCCCTATAAAAGGCACTAATTATAATCTACTCCTTGGCTTCCAGGAAGAACAGCTTTACACTGTGGTTTGGTAGTTCTGCTTGAGATTGCAGCACTAGCCGTGCCACAACATCATGCTAGGGTATACATGGACTTACCTATTTCCTTCTTTAAAAAGTGATGCCTTCCATTTATGCAAAACCAATCCTTTTTTCCTGCTTCACTCCAGTGTTTTAAAGTTAACCTACAAAGGATACCAAAAGGGGGAGGGAGGGAGTTGAGGGGCTTGTGCTACTTTAGGGCCTGAAAGGATGGGTCGGTTTGTTTGGTTTAATTAAGAAACAAATTCTGCTTGTTTTTCCATCATAGAAATGTTAGGAATGTGAAGTCTGATCTTCTGTGGGTTTGTTGGAGGACCAGTGGGAGGCAATAAGCTCTTATCTTCCTGAAGGAAGGGACAAGAATGTGGAATGTTCAACAAATGTTTCATTTATTCAGAAATATTAGTCACTGAGGTCAAACAGTTGTTATTTTAACAGTCTGATGAAGATTATCTTCTCCCACTTAACAGTGCTACTTTTACTCCTTTAGCACGTGTGATCTCATCACTTACACGAAACTCTCCAGTCATCAAAGAGTCTTCCAGCCTAGACTGGAAATTGAAGCTAGACAAAATCAGATTGGACATAAGGTGTAAATTTTTGACAGGGCGGGTAATTAACCATCAGAACAATTTACCAAGGGTTGTGGTGGACTTTCCATCACTGACATTTTTTAAATCAAGATTGGATGTTTTCGAAAAGATCTACTCTAGGAATTATTTTGGGGAAGTTCTATGGCCTGCGTTATATAGGAGATCACGCTAGATAATCACTATGGTCCCTTCTGGCCTTGGAATCTATGAATCTAGACAGCATCTGAATTTCTAGTGTAGAAACATATAGAAAATTAAAAAACAAAAACAAAAACAAAAAACCCCAAAGTATCTTTCAGGCCTTCTTTACACAGCACAAAGAAGCTAAAGGAAGGCACGAGCCTGTATTTTTTCCCTTTCCCCAATCATCTTGTATAGAATCACACCGGGGATAATCACAGCTTAGTTGAAATGATTGGTTTAAATTGTTGTTGCAGGCTGTTCCTATCTTCCTACGATCACATCTGTACTGAGCATGATTAGAAAGAAAAGGAGCCCGAAACAGAAACAAAATGTGGTGCACATTTACCCTAGTTCTTATAAACAGAGGATGACTATACCGTAGATTAAAATTTACCAAAACCATGCTCTGAAGTATCCCTAGCCTCTGTTTGGCAGAAGCTGGGAATGGGCAACAGGGGATGGATCACTTGATGATTACCTGTTCTGTTCATTCCCTCTGAAGCACCTGGCATTGGCCACTGTCGGAAGACAGGATACTGGGCAAGTTGGACCATTGGTCTGACCCAGTATAACCATTCTTATGTACCTTTGTAAACCCAAGAAAGGCTAATGTACCTATAGTATTTCACTTTTTAACTCTGTAAAGCTGCTTAATACATTTACAAACTTCCCATACATAAGGACACAGATTTACCCTATTAATATTTTATGGACAAGATTGCCAATTTATATCTTATTCTCAACACCCTGAATTTACTGACTGCCTCATTAAACTGCTTTTTATACTTTTAGCTTCCTCCTCCAACTTCCGTACAATGACTGTTCTCTTTAAGGTCATTTCCTCTTTATAAATGATCTGGTGTTTTTTTAAGTTTTAAAACTCTCTATCTAGTATTAATCTTTTGATTAGTTACTTCCATCCATAGATGTCAAAGTGCGTTACAAAAGAGTGCAATCATCATTATCCCCATGTTACAGGTGGGCAGGCTAAGGCAAGGCAAGATGTAGTTACATTCAGCATACCAGTGGCAAAGGCAGGAATAGAATCCAGGTCTCTGACTTGCTGGCCATTCCCCAACCACTACTAGCCCGTGCTGCCTCCCTTTATTGACATTGACATCAGCACTGTTCTAACTCCAGCTGACCATACTGCTGTCTCAAATTCTTTAGGAGAAATACAAGTTAATACAATTCTAGTCTGACAGGTTGTATGAGACTAGTCATTCCGTCAAGAACCAAGACAGGTCTCTTTTACCTGCAAGAGGCTTGAAAAGGTTTGCTACAGAAAACGGGGAAGCTGCAGCAAAAGGAACCATCCATGACTCAGATCTCATGATAGTCTCGATCCAAAGAAGGAAGGTCTCTCCCCTCCCCCCCGCAATACCCTCCTCACTGCCTGCCCCCTCCTGCCTATTGCCCTTAGGATAATCAGACTCAGCCTGGGATGTGAAAAGTCAGGCTGGGTTCTTTTTGCCTCTTCCACCGTCATCAATGAATAAAGATTCTACAACTGGAATGCAGCTGAGTTCCACTGGTGCTGCATGAAGAAGACCAGACCTGCTCAATCTCTTACAGCTGTATTGGCTCCACAGGAATAGAAAGGTGTTTGTTGCCAAAGTTCACTGTATCTATACTGTTCCAGTATTAAGCAAGGGGCTAACAAAAGTGTCCCACAAGTAGACCGTCAAAGGGAGCATTTATATTATAGATGGAGGCAACATTTTTACATCACTTGATCAAAGCCATTTATGTATTTAAAGCATTCTCCAGTAAAATATCCGCAACAATCACCTTATGGTATCACAGAGTTTCATGTACACCTTTACCCCGATATAACGCGGTCCTCGGGAGACAAAAATCCCTACCGTGTTATAGCTGAAACCCCGTTATATCGGGGTAGCGGCGGCAGGGCTCCAGCGGTGATTTAAAGGGCCTGGGGCTCCCCGCAGCAGCCAGAGCCCTGGGCCCTTTAAAGCGCCGCCCGAGCCCCGCTGCCGCAGCCCCGGGATTACCGCACTATATGCGAACCCGTGTTATATCGGGTCGCATTATATCAGGGTAGAGGTGTATTTGAAATAAGACTTTGTCTACCTCTGTATGCCAGAGAAGTTACTATAGAAAATACGCTTGTAAGAAGGTACAAACTGATTCAAAATAACAAGGTCTGACTATATGTTCAATTGGGTTATGGCCTTTTTGTCTGTTTTTTCCCTTTTGAAACTGTTTGCCAAAGCTTGTTGTGATAAAATACTGGAATCTTAACAGAAGAGGGGAACACCAGCACAATTTTTGATGTACTTTGGGGAAATCTGAGATTCAAGAGCAGACGCCCTGGCTTGGCAGGAAACTTCCAACTTCCGCTATAATCAAACTACTTTTGCTTACTGTTTTACTTCAGCTACATCTAAAACTAAATAGCCCCACTAGCAGGGTTTTCACAGCCAGAGTAGCAGCAGTCCAATTTTGACGCTAAAAAGACCTGGCTTCTTACATTAGCTCTCAAATGCTACATAAGTGATTCCCGTTCCTGGGTCTCTGAAGGAGGATTCTGCTTTGAAACACTGTGGGAATGAATTGGGTACCTGATCAATTGTGTATGGAACAATACGACTAGAGGAATCAAGGAACACAAACATATTTGGACAGCCTTGTGAACAGATATGGCAATTTCCTGCAATATCCTGGAGAAACATGATAGGATGAAGTTAAACCTTACCGAATCAAGTTTAAGAATATGAGGATTTCATTGTATTACAAATGCAAACACTGATGTAGTATTTTGGGATTGTATGTAACGTCTCTGGGGGGAGACAGGATTCATGTAAAGCATAGGAAATGTTAGGGTTTTAAAGGACTATTTGAAACAATTTGAACTTTTAAAGTTAAGTGAGTTTCCAGGAAATCTCTAGGGGGAAGTATACATGCAAATGTGCCCCCTTCAGATATGCAAGAACTCAGCCTTTTGAAGCTTCGCCCTCAGGAGGACACCCATGGTCTACAAATTACCTATTCCCAGATCAAAGACCCAAACTGCACACAGCAATTCATGGGGTGCTTGTTTTGAGCTAACAGCGGCTATGAACTTATGACCACAGCAAACCCTTTGGTGAGGTCTGAAAGACTGTTTACCTGCCAGAGCCCTTGCTGGAGCGGAGGTGATCTCTGGTAAGCGTATTAGCAGGGGTGTAGGTTCTTTTATTGTTTTCAAGATACTTTCTCTGTAATACTTTCACCTTAAAGGTGCTTGCTTAGGAAGAGCTGGGTGGTAACTTAACTGTGGGCAATTATGCTGCTTATAGCCTCCAGTGCAGGCCTGCTGAGGCAATCTGCCTTGCTGGGGAATTCACAGTGTAGGCAGGGATCTGTGCAGCCTGGAAATACCCAGGACAGGAATGAGAGAGATGCGTGTCTCTGCCCAAGAGATGATGGTTGTGGAGCGGGAATCCTGAGAACGGGTGCTCTTGCTGGACCATGAAGGGGGAATACAGATGCAGGTGCCCTGAACTGTGACAAGTCTCACTAAATAGGTAAAGAAAATATAACTTCATATGTCCCAGCTATCAACCCACTCAATGTTGGTCCAACACACTGAGCTGTATTTATAGATGTTTCACACAAAAGCTACTGCAAAGAAAGTTTGGATATGCTGCATGCTACCATAACTGATCAAGATTCTGATGCCTACTGCAATCTACACATCCTTAAATTCAGAACTAAAACCATGCATTGCATATGCTGCATTATCAAAACTATTGCAAGGATAAGCAGATTTTCAAGATTACTTCTGCTTATCATGAAAAATGATAAAAATGCCTTTTAAATGTGTGACAAGACAAAAATTCATATGAATAATCAACCATAGTTTTTCTTCATTACTATCTTTTATCAACCTATTTTCCAGAGACAGATTCTAGACAAACAAACAAAAAGATGTAGAATTATTATTATGATTTTTACTGTGGGCCCCGAATCGTAGCCCAGCAGCCACCTGTGCAAGGTGCTGTACAAACACAAGGGGGAAAAAAGATAGACCCTACCCCGAGGAGTTTACAAGCTAAGTAATAACTTATTGCTAACTTGTGAAAGCAAAAACTTGCCAGCTGCTTTATACTATGTTATTTCACTCTTTACATTCATCTAAGTATCCCCTCTATTAAGTGCAGGAACTTATAGAAGACACTGCTAATAATGAGTTGACATTATCCAAGAAAAAGTTAGCAGTTTTTAAGAAAGACTTTTATGTGATGTCTTATAAGCATTCAATTGACTTTTTTTACTGACAAATTCCACAACAGAAATGTTGGCATGTTACTTGTGTGGTACTTTCTCTAGTGGGGAAAACAATTTCTGTAATCTTCCCTGTGCGCAGTAACTTCTGTCTCCCACCTGGAATTTCTCCCCCTTCCTGCTACAACATTTAATTGTGCACCCTTCCTTTCCTCCAAACAAAGCTACCAAAAATGATTTTCCAATCTTATTCTTAATAATAAAAAAAAAATATTGTGAACTACACTGAGCCTTTTCCCCTTAACTTAATTTGAACCTACACACTATGTTGCAATGGGCATGTAAAGAAACGTTTGCAACTTCCCTGTGGAAGTCAGCTGAAGGACATCTTTCTAAATCCTGTTGCAGTAGTAAAATTACATTCATGTCTAGCATTGTAATCATATGCTTCACTATTTAATTGCATGGGAAGAAGGATTAGAAAGAGAAAGTGCAGGGAAGATAGTTCATCTAATGCTCTCTCCCAATGCAGGTGTGGTTCCCATTGTGGTAAATGGGAGAAACAGCATCAGAGGAGAGTACTGACATCTAAGGGCAAGTCTACACCATAGTGCTAAACTGGCACAGCTACACCGCTGTAGCGTATCTGGTGAAGATGCGCTATGCTGACAGAAGAGCGCTCTCCCCTCAGAATAATTACTCCACCTCGGCAGGAAGCGGAGGCTATGTCGGCAGGAGAACGTCTCCCGCCGACATAGTGCCAGCATATATAGCGCAAAACTTGTGTCACTTGGGGAGGGGCTTTTTCACGCCCCTGAGCGACGCAAGTTAGATCGACTTAAGCGGTAGTGTAGACCTGCCCTAAAAGAGACAGGACACAAGTGATCCCACTCCTCGGCCGCCACCTCAAAATGTTTGATGCTTCTGGTGGTGGTGGGGAGAGGGGGAGGGGAGGCACACAGGCAGCAGGAAAACAACAAGAATGTACTAGCCTACACCTCTGAAAGTTAGGTGTATTGCAGCAGTCATAAATTAAGCCTCCGGGAAGAAGAGCGCATAACCCACACCACAAATACAAGCACATCAATTGCAGCTTAATTAATTATAATAAAGAGCATTAAATGTCTGCCTTGGGGCCTTTTGAGTTTACTCAGGGAGAAGAATTGCTCTAACAGCTACAAAAACTTGGAAAGATCGGGTGGCGGAGAGTAGAAGTAAAACTGAATCAAAAGTCCCCAAATTCCCATATGCTAAATGCTTGCAGCTGCCTGCTTGTAAGGAATGAAAGTTACTTTAATTTTCAATTAGTTGTGAGAGGTGATGAGAAAAATATATTTCATTATATGTTTATTTAAGACTGGAGTGATATCCTGGCCCTACTAAAGTCCATGGCAAAACTTTCATTGATTTTAATAGGGCCAGGATTTTACCCAAGTCCAATATAGGCCCACTGAAGTCAACTGGAACCCTTCCAGTGATTTCAGTAAACTTTGGATCAGGATCTAATTGTATTCAGGAGGCCAAGACTTCAGGCAGCTTACTTCCAATCTGATGTAAAACATTTAGCTTTGTAAATATTAAAGGACTTTGTTCTTCCTTCAGTACTCACTCCTGTTGACTTTTGCCACCTTGCCATTGGGGTCTGATGCAGCCACTGCTGGTGGCATTCTTTTATATGGGACAATTCAGAGGGGGGGGGAAATGAAAGGGTGGGGTTTTTTTCTTATTAAAACACAGACGTAGGAGTGAAGAGACCAGAATTCCATTCCCAGCTCTGCTACTCACCCCCTCTGGGACCTTGGACAAATTGTCTCAGTTTCTTCATCTGTAAACTTGGGGTAACATTTTACCCTACCTTCCTCACACATGCGTTGTGAAGGGAAATTCATTAATATATGTACGTTACTTGAGTTTCTTGGATGCAGTGCAAACTATTATTCTTATGTACATGTGAAAGCAGTGGCAGTGCGTTTTGCAGAGGAAGTAGTTGTTAATGGGAATTACATACATGCATCGGGGGTTAAAAATATTCCTCAAGTTTATCTGCCATGTAAGTAAGTATTTCAGCAGGATGGAACCAGATGTGCAATCAAGGACAATTCTTAAAATTCCATGCACTCCTAATAAAAAAGTGTTGCTGAGAGGCATTGCACTATCTTTATTTGTGGCCTTCTAGTAATTATCTTATTAAACTATTTCAAAGGTTGTTTCTCTTAATGGATCACATTTGTTTTCTTAAGGGCCCCACAACGTTACTGTGAAAGATACATAACCAGAAGTTGGCATGCAGCTTTACAGAACACCAATAAAACATGGTTTCTATCTCAAAGCTAATCAAGTTATGACATATTACAATTAATTTAACTAGTGTGAAACAACAAAAAGGAAAGCAGAGTTTATTATTCTAAATAATTTAATTATGCCGGCGGCATAACATAACTACACTGGAGGAGGACATAAGCATTTCTTATGGTAAATGTATTTGTATTTGATTTCCAATTGCAAATATACTAGAATATGGAAAGTGTATTAAAGACAACTGGGTTGTTGTTTTCAATTTTTTACAAGCCATTGCAAAACCAAATACGAATACTGAAGCACTAAACAGGAATTTTCCAAAGCACATGCTACACAGGTTGCTTCAATATTAGGAAGAATGCAGTAAGCTCATTTGGATTAGGAAAATTTGTGTAGAAGTATGACAAGCCAAGACAAAGCACTCCCCAAACAATACGAGCAGACTTAGTTTGAGGGAATTGCTTCCATGTTGCTTGCAGTCAATCAAAGGGAACCCGTTGTACTGTTACAAATTTGCTTTTCACACCTAGTAAACAAAATATAGCAAGAGTGCTCTTAAAGTAGCATTTAATTTCTTAAGCGCTTTCTATTGTATTACAACAGTAGGCCCTCAATCTTCAGTGTAATCTTGGTGCAGCCATGAGTAGAAGTCTAAGCAACCTTTCTTCTCCCACAATCCTAGGATAGCTCCTCCCAGTCTGGCCACACCAAGAAGGAAGAGGAAAGATGCAGTAGAGCCAGCTACGCTAGCTTTGCATCACTAGAGGATTTCCCTGTGTCAGGGGAATTCTCAGCCAACCCTTTAAGGCAAAGCAGCTGGGGCCTCTAGGAATGCATTTAAACTTGACAATGGACTGCCTAGTACCTGGGTGTCTTAAGAAGAATGTTTTGATTTCTAGCTTTCTAAGTTGCCAAAAGGAGAATGTTCTACTTACCAGTTTGTTTGGATATCGGAGCAGCACCGGTTGCACGGGAACTCCTGGAATAAAGGCTCCTGTAACCACAAATCACTTTTTAATATACAAACATACCACTTAAGAATTTTAAGTGATTAAGACAAAGGAGGATTGGAGGACAAATAAAACGTAAAGGGGAAATTTAAAAAAAAAAGTTATCCCTTGACAGTTATTTTTTAAAAGCATAACTAGTGATTCCAGATAAAGGAGACCCTCCCTTCTACCTGGCTGAACTCTAGAACAGAGTTTTAGGTCAGAGAGAAGTGATTCCCTTGGATTTGTGGATTATTTTAAACTAATTTTCACCCATCTGAATGAATGTCAGTTGTCAAGGGACATAGTCAGTGTTGTTGCAGTCGTGTTGGTCCCAGGACATTAGAGAGACAAGGTGGGTGACGTAGTAAAAGACATTACCTCACCCACCTTGTCTCTCCAGTCACCAAGGGAATAATATTGGCTACATGTTCACATGACCATTGGGGAGAATGACAGCCAAGATAGTCAGGTAATGCTTATGGTCCTTATTTAGTCACATAGGTGCCTATACTAGCATTATGTGACTTTGGAATAGGGGGCTGCTTTTTCAACAACATAACGTGGGAAACCATCATAGCTTTGGTGAGCAAGCAGCAGAAGAGACCACTTTCTACTAGACAGAGCCATAATAGAACATCGATTCTGTGCAGCCAATAATCTGCTCTGCTAATCCTGCTAAATACGAACCAGAGTAGATTTCATACATCAGCTGCATGACAAAGAATGTTTCTATTTTTTTTCCCCCCATCAGAACCTGAACAAATATACACTGAAGCACGGAGATTACTCCAGTTAGTTGCTCAGCTCTAAATTTTAAAAATTACAAAACTACCAAAATAAATGCAATTATTAATTATCCTGCAGGAACCAATAAAATTCAGAGTTGTTTATGCATTTGTAGCATTAATAAGTATATTAAATATTAGGGGTTAACTAAAACAAATGCATCTCAAATTACAGGAACATTGTCAGGTCCAATTTCTCAAAAGTAGGTTTTGTGAAAATGGGTTTCCACTGTTTGCTTTTAATTTCAATGAAGATACTTTATATAAAACTAATAGACATTCCTGTAAAGGATTTGCAACACAACTATTGAACCATTGCTATAAAGCATGAAAAGACCTAGTAAAATTGTCTAGAAACTGCCCAGAAACTAAGTGCAACTAACTAATCTATTATCCTTCTACAAGCTGCCACAAATTGAAAAAGCAAACTCACAGCAAATGGTATAAAGTAGTAGAGGTTTTAAAAACTACTGCAGTTTTAATAATCTAAGGTGTTACTAGTAGCAAAGGTGAAGAAAAGTGGCTTTTTAGAAGTGCTTGACTTGACAGTACCCTTACAGACTGTGAATAAACAAAAGAAACCCACTGGACCAAATTAATATTTTTACAAACTGACTGAAGTGACTTTGCAAATCATACCAGTCCATGATTTTCTAACAAAATACATGCAACACAATATCTCTCACCTTGTTTAAAGGTGATCAGACAGGATCGATTTGTACAGGTGCCTTCTGGGAAAATCAGTACCTTGGATTAAAAAAAAGGTATATTTATTTATATACATATACTTTATACTTTTGCCTTAACAACTTATACATGCCTGAAGGTGTGACTTCTTATTCAAATTCTCTGAACTGTCGATGAGCCCTGATACTGCATCACAAGTTTATCACTTTGTCAGCAAGGAAATGAAAGAACGCCTGTGATTGACAGCGATTTTATTCCTCTGGATTTGAAAACAAATGCTTTGTAAGAGAGAGAACTTTGGGGAAGGCCTTTGTCAAGTCTGAAGTAGGGCACAAAAGGCCTCCAACGTTTCCCTTGCAGTATCTAGTGTTGGAAATAATGAGCGATTGTTTCTTTCTCTGCCAGGAGCTCCTTTCAGATCTGTAAGCTGTATGAACACTGAGTCTGGGTTGACATCAAGTGCATAAGAGGCACTCAAGCACTTACCGACACAGATGCTATCAACATGAGCTTAGATGCCAACTGTGAGGATATGATCACGGATCAAGGGGCAGCAGCAAAACACACTTAGAGGTGGGGGCATTTGTGATGTGATGACTTCTGAAAGCATTACGTACTACTGAATGGCTTCGGTGTCTGGAAGAATCAGACACACTGGATACCCAGGAGGTCTTAGAATCATCTTCTGAAGCAATTGGATTAGAAGGAGATACAGTATGGCACAGTGCAGCCAACCCTTCAAGGAACATAGAGCACACTAGCAGCTTTGTCTTTTCGGGGCACTCTAGCAACACCTATTGGAATTCTGAACTCTTGGCAAGAACATGCGACTCCTGAACAGTGTCACTGTAGCAAAAATTACAAAGAGATGCTCCTACTTCACTCCCTCCTAGTTCACAGGGCATGGCTGGGGGAAAAGAAGGCATGCCCAAGGCATCCCTGTGCTCCAGTGATATTCTGCTTGGGGGCATAGGCAGGTAGGTGTAAGTTAGAGCAACCCTGAGGCTGCTCTAATTTATGACAGAGGGATAGCTCCAAGGATAGAGGAAGCACAAAGGTGGTAAACACATGACCATTCCTGTACCAACCATAGTACAACCAGAACAAAAAAAATTGCTACCTAGGTACCTGGGCACGAAAACTGATACTTAAAGGACATAGGGCTGGTGCCCAGAGAGAGGAATTTTCATATTCCTACCTCCAGAATCAAGTAGACAAATGCAGCCAGTTCTCTCTAGACCAAACCACTCTTTGAGAACCTAAAAGAAACATGTGTTGGGAGCAGCAGCATGTGCTCTTGGCTAGCACATGCCACCTACCTCAGCAGACATGCTGAGGACAGACAAAGCAGCCTAACCAGATCATGCCTCCTTTGTGCGGAGGAGTACAGGAGAAGCAATAGCTGGGCCCCTTTGTTGCTAACAGGAGTGTTCTTCTGTTGATGTGCACTGTTCTAAGGGAAGGGGCCCCTGGATCCCTCTGCTTTCTCCTCCACTGCACCCGCGTTACAGGGGCTGCATTTGGCCCTAGATATTTTAGAATATGTTGTGAAAATATGTTTACGGTCAGGTTCCTCCAAAAAAGAGGAAGGATAACACACAGGACTGGGAGTCAGAAAGCACGGGCTACATTCCCAGCTTGGCTGCTGACTCACTCCACAACCTTGGATTGGTCACTTAGCTATGCCTCAGCTTCCTCATTGGTAAACTGGGAATCCACAAATCTACTCTACTTTATGCTACAAGCCTAAACAGCCCCCAACACCTCTGGGGATTGGGATAGCACAAAACTGTCGTAAAGCCACCTCTGTGTCTGCCCCGTCTTCAGCAGAGCTCTGGTGCACCTGGTCTAGATTCCATCCAACCACGCATTTCCGCCAGGAAAATTAACTGCACTGGTTCAATCACACCTCCATTTCTAAGCACAGCATTACTCAAAAGCTTTCCTAGAAGTGATCTGGGTGTCTGATTAAAATGCCTGCGTGGCAGAGTTCCAGACCTGTGACAAATGGAAAAACCAACAAAGGCGGCTGTAAGAATGCATAGAGCAAATTTGAATGTGCACTTGTGAGTCAAATTAAAGAAGCCTAAATCCTAACTAAAGAACTTGGAGCAAGCTGCTTGTGGAATGAAAATGATGCATGGTATTTAAATAATCCCATCTCAGGGAGAAAATGACGTGTGTTTTGGTTTTTGTTTCCTGGAAATGGGGCTCTATGGCTGCTGTCTGTCCCGACCACCCCCTTATCATTAGGGCTGTGCATTCCGGTTCAACAGAAACACAAATATCTTGCTATTGGCATCTCTGACTTTTCACCAGCTTTTTATTTTTGCTTCAGGAAGCCAGCTATGGAACAAAAACAAACTGATAGCCAGTTTCCTCATGATGTTTCAATCATCCAGGAAGGGACCTGCTCTGAGAAAAATAGATCTCATGATATTTCAGCCACTGAACTCGTTCTCTCAGTCACTGAAAACAAAAACAAACACAAGCACAAGCACACGCATGAGATCAGGTACAGATTTCTACCTTGGATGCTCCTCTGCCTTTAAGAGCTCCACACACAGTAGAAGAGGTGCCATTCCAGTGCGTGGGATAGGACAGATGCAGGATTTGGTCAGATTGTCATGGGGAGTTCAGTTGTGTGGGGCTCCCTGGGCACTGTCAGTCAGGGGTTTTTATGACAGGGCAGCAGTGGGCTGAGGTCAGAACTAGAGGATCAGCTTCTACAGGGATCCTTTAGGCTTTGCTCTTCCAAGAAGAATGGGGTGTGCGAATGTTCCAGGGCCCATCCCAGCCCTTGGCCTGGCACAGTAATTGTAGAGCTGCTCCCCCCAACGCTACTCTCTCCACGGAGGTCCCCAGCATCCAGCTACTCCAGCTGGAAAGATGATGTAGTCCTAGAAGCAGAGAAACAGCGTGGTGCTGAAAAGTTACCACAAGCGAGTAGGTATGCGGAGCGGATATCCATTACTCTCATGCTGAACTCGAACACAGATGGTAAAGTGGCTTCCAAAATACAGGTGAAGCTAAATGCCTACTAAGTTTCAAGCGACCTGGTCAACAGGCTCAAGGCCCCAATCTTCGGGGCGGGGAGAGGGTCCCCATCCCTTTGGGGTGGTCTTGACACATTTTTTACAAGTTGTTAATACATTTGGGTTCTGAATTGATTCCTCAGTCACTCAAGAGTAATTATGCTGGAATCCCCTTTCCTTTTGTAAAAGCCTTTTATAAAACCCCAAAGGGTTGATGATGTCTCCTTTGGTTTCAAAGTTACAGCTACAGGCCAGTGCTCAACTGAATGGGATTTTTAAGCCTTACGTTTCACAATTTAAAAGGAAAGCTGACACTTTACAGCCTATTTTACCTGTGGCCACTGGCCTCCTGATGTTGCTCGTTTAGTTATCTCATTGATTGTATTCCTTCGAGAATCTGGGTCTAGACGTGATACCAGTACAGGCTGGAGGGATCTGAGAATTGCTGTGAAAGAGAGATTCAAGTGATCATTATTATTCATGGCACACGAATACCTAGAAGATCCAACTGAAATCAAGAGTCACTGTCCTAGGCATTGAATAAGCGCATAGTAAGAAACAGAGCCTGCCTTGCTCAGCTTCCAGCCTAAATAGAAAAGACAGGCCAAGAATGGGAAAAACACGATATTACTGCCCCTAATACAGAGAAATGATGTGATTTGCACCCAAGTTCATACAATCTGTGGCAGAGTCAGAAACTGAATGCAGATCTCCTAAGTCCCAGTCCTGCCTTCACCATGAGACCATCTTCCTTGCCCTGTGCTCCCAAAACTACATAGCAAATATCAGTAAGTCTTTCATGCTAGTCTAGTGTTTTTAGCTTACTTTTCCTAGTTGCCTACTAGGAGTTTGGCTTTGAGTTATATTGCTTCTGAACAATGTTGTAAACTTCAGGCTGGCCACCATACAAAATAAAGGACGTGAGAGTAGTAAAAGGGCTACAGCATTTATATGGCCTCAGTAATAATAAAAGTGTGGGTCTTCTTTTTTCTTGGGTTGATTGAGGGGAGGAGGAGGAGGAGAGATCAGACAATGGGAAAAATCAAGCATATATTCTAATCTATGGAATGGTTTCCTTTTTGCATAATTCCTTCTTCACAGATCAGTGACACACACAAAGCACAAATGCTCAGCGAGTTCAAACATAGAAAGCAGTGTCAAGAATGCGCCATTTTCTGAATTTCCTTGATATGGGTCTGTTCTGCATTTTCTTTACATAACTCCCCACCCCCAAGACCCTGAGTAATTTGTATGTTCATTTGAAAATTCAGCACTTTGAGGGCTTGATGAGTCCATTCCATCCATCCATGTCAAGTAGAGAAGCCTTTCCACAACTTTCCCATTCCTGGAAACGACTGGCAGATCTGCACAGGGATCGTCAATTCCACTGCTTCCTTCAAGTCTCCTCTGAGCGGTAACATGCAGAGATCTGCTGTGGAGCTAGTCACTGTCACAGGCCAGGGGTGTATCTAAGCCTTCAGCGTGGGCTCACTAAATCCAGTTCTGCGGCAAGAAGGTCTCCCTGTGGCAAAAGTCACCCCAAAGTCACGTGAACCATGCTCCTTTGGTTTCTTTGTGTTACTCCTGAAGCCCCTTTGTCTTCCTGCCTCCTTCCCCACAAGAGTCTGAAATTTCTGGGAAGCTCCCAACCTTTCTCCATTCCATCCATGTTGCTCAAAGCCAAAAACTGTCAACAGGAGAATCTTTTGGCTAATGATTTACAGGATGATTGTCAAGGGTCACTTGAGTCATGTACACAAAGGAAGAAAATGGAGCTAGAAATTATGGCAGGACAGTGTTAGGGAGGGAAAGACAGTGGAAATATAGGTCAGCTTTTCAAAGCTATTTAGGCACCTAAAGATGCAGATAGGTGCATGGTGGGATTTTCAGAAGTGCCTAAGCAAGTTAGGAGCCTCTCTCCCATTGAGATCTGAAAATCCCACTAGGCGCCTACCTACATTTGTAAGTGCCTAAATATCTTTGAAAAGCTGGCCCTCAGTCACTTTTTAAAATAGGACTTTGCCTCTTAAGTCACTATGGTGCTTTGGAAAATTTTACCCCTTATCTGTAACTTTATCAATACTTACTGCCAAATACGGGGGCCGACAGGTTCTCTAACCTGGATACGATCGACGGCAATCCAGCTATGATACAAACAATTCCATCAAAGAAGCTTGAGTGAGGAGCTACAACAAGGATTGGGGCTTCCAAGGGACCTGCTACTTTCCCCTTCACTTCAACTTGGAAGCCCATCAAGAAGAACATAACACGACCTAAGCACTGGAGGGCACACTGGGTCACTCTCCTTTAAAAAGAAAACAAAACAAATAGCATGTGTAAGTGAATCAACTCCATTACGTGCCCCGGTCACCATTTCTTTCCCAGTTTAGAATAAAGAGCATGCAAGTTATGCATGACATGGAAACCTTATAACTACTGGACTCATGCACCCGCTATGTGGGAAATCAGACTCTACTGCCCCTTTTTTATGTTAAAAAACATAGGGATTCCACTTTGAATCAAAATTAGCCAGTCAAATAACATCAATCCTATTTTTTGAAATGATCAGTTTTAATAAAGAAACCCTGATTAAGATGGAAAGTGATCATGTTCCTTTAAAGGGGAACTTTAACTCTCAGCTACTCCCCGGTTTTGCTATAACCCACTTCCTGTTTTTATCCACGCCTGGTATCATGTGGCTACAGAGAGGGAAGAATCTGGAATGCACCCAAGATACTGAAAGGTCCAAAGCTGAGTGATCAAAACCCAGAATCCCTGCTTATAACCAATATAGCTGTGGAACAGCCCTTTGATGACATCACACCTAGGAGAAGAGATGTGTGAGCTACCACAGGTGTTTTTGTTGTCATGCATAATAATATTGAGCAATCTGGGCATTCTGCCTATTATATAACATCAGCAATATACAAGGATGTATTTTCTTGTTCCCATCATCCTCAGGCAGAATTCCAAAGCTGTTTTACTTCCTTTGTTAATGAGTACCCCACTCCATGGCCCAAATATTCCTTTCCGGCACCACCTCTAAGGAAAGGCCTGGCTTGCAAAGTGTCTGTCTTTAATATCTAAACTAGCTCCCAAGGTCTCTGCTACAATGAGCTCAGCAAACTACATAGCCCACCACATAGAAGAAGATTTTCTGATATTTGCATGAGGTAGCAGAAACCTTATTTCTGTTTTACGATCACTCAGAGAAAATGCACCAAAATGCTGTTGATCATAAAGCAGACACATTCTCCACAGCATGTATTTGCAATATTTCTTTGATCATGTAAATAATAAGGAAACAATTTATTAACGTTTGGAGCTTTTAAAATATATCACTAAAATTTACCTAAAGTTTGACAATTGCTTTTTACCTCTTCCATCCCATGAGCGGCACGGACCCTCTTCCAGGATGGCAGAAAGTTGCAATTGCTGCAAATGGCCATGACAGCAGCAAAATTAATGCAATGCATATGGCACGAAATGGAAGCAGGATAATCCCCAATAGGACAATCTGGGAGGGGGAAAAAAAGGAAGAAAATGCACCAACAGAAATCACTTTGACAACCAATTTGCTCTGGTTACATAATGTGGACTTTAAAGTACTTATGTCACTGCTACATGATTAAATACGAAAAGTATTATGTGATTCTAACACAACTACGGATGTTTATATAAAAGGAGGGGGAAGTTATTTTTTCTTTTACAAATGGTGCTTGGGAAAATTCTATAGTTAGAACTGGAATTTCTGATTCTTTAAGTAAAGGATCTTACAAGACTGATTGATTGGCACAGAGGATTGGAAATTTATTTATTTAGCAGGGGCATAGTCATCTAGCCAAGCGATGGCATCTTCAGCGGCGTGATGCAGTTCTTCTAGGCCACCGCTGAACCTAGTCAGCAGGCATTCCTCGACAATGTGCGTCATCATCTGTGTCGCGCTGCAGCTGCACAAAGGGCTGCCACGAAGGCCCCAGCAATACTGGTTGGCTGCACAGAGACCTTGCCCAGTCCAGAACCTGTTCAACAGGGACCATCGGCGATGGGGCAGGTCAAAACCAGGCAGGCAAATTGTGGGGTCAGCGATGAGGGACTGGTTGGGGATTATACCAGATATCCATTCCTCTCGTCAGAGTGTTTCCACCCTAATGTCCTGGCATGGCAGATTGGAAATGGTAATGGTCGCCTCCAGATGACCGGTTCACATCGAGTCCAGATAGCTAGTAACCAAACATCATTACCAGCTGATATCTGCTTGATGTTTTCTCAGTCCTGGTCCTAGGGAACATATCCACAACACAGCCTACTGTAACTAGCACTAATGTTGGTGTAGCCTCAGCAGAGACACCAAGATGGAAACAGGCTAAGTCCCCCCTGCATTAGTAGCTTGAGCTTCAGTGGCACTCAAGCATCTACACATGCGCACACACCCTGACGAGCTAGCTACCTCGAGCATGAAGCCCCAGTTACCTCGAGCTAGACATTTGCGGGTGTGTTTGGGAACTGAATTAGGGGTAACACTCAGGTTGTGCCCTGAGCTATAAATGTAGTGAAGCCATACCTAAATTGCCTGTTCACCCCTAAAGACAATCTCTACAACTTATGTTCACGCATAGTTTGAGTATTGCATGTCATTACTGCTGCCCAGGCAATGTCAGTTCTATGGACAATAAAGGTCTTCAGTCCCCAGTCACTGAGAATTTTTCACAAGCACTGGAGTCACTTAGAAGTATTAAAACATACAGGCTTGACGAAGACAACACAATCAATCAATATGTGACTTCCTACCTCCTGACTGCTTTGAAATGTGCCTCTTTGAATCCTCAAAACACACGGAGATAGAGCCTCAACTTTATTTTTCATAAATTTAGAAAAACTTCGGTTTAGACAGGCAAAAACTGAAATGCACTCTGAGTTGTTGAAGGGAAAAGGACGCAGCTTCCCTATTCCTTGGTTACTGCCAAGAACAGACTCAATATTTACACCTAGTGTAATAGACACAAAGCAGTCTTGCCACAATCAAACTATTCCTCTTCGACTCAGTTCCTAAAGCTCTCTCAAACATGCTGGGTAGGTACATCATAGACTAGGGGCGGGCAACGTTTTGGCCTGAGGGCCACATCGGGTTTCTGAAATTGTATGGAGGGCCGGTTAGGGAAGGCTGTGCTGCCCCAAACAGCCAGGTATGGCCTGGCCCCCGCTCCCTATCCAACCCCCCCTGCTTCTCGCCCCCTGGGACGCCTGCCCCATCCACCCCTTCCTGTCCCCTGACTGCCCCCCGACTGTCTCCCACTGCCCCATCCAACCCCTCCTCTCCTTCCTGACCGCCCCCGGAACCCCTGCCCCTGACTGCCCCCCGGCCTCCCCATCCAACCCCCCACTCCTTCCTGACTGCCCCCCGGGACTCCTGCCCCCATTCAACCCCCCTGTTCCCTGCCCTCTGACCGCCCCAACCCCTATCCACACCCCGACACCCTGACCACCACCCCAAACTCCCCTGCCCTCTAACCAACCCCTCCCTGCCCCCTTACTGCGCTGCCTAGAGCACCGGTGGCTGGCGGCGCTACAGCTGCACTGCCCAGAGCGCCGGATCAGGCCAGGCTCTGCAGCTGCGCTGCCGGGCAAGAGCTCGCAGCCCTGCTGTCCAGAGCGTTGCGCCAGCAGCGGAGCGAGCGAGCTGAGGCTGCGGGGACAGCAGGGGAGGGGCTGGGGGCTAGCCTCCCCGGCCAGGAGCTCAGGGGCCGGGCAGGAGGGTCCCGCGGGCCGTAGTTTGCCCACCTCTGTCAGAGACACATGTCTCAGGAAAATGCAGACTGGCTAATCCAGCTATTCAGTAAAGGTTATAAAACCACAAATCATGCTAATATTAATGCAAATATTTGACAGAGTATTAAACTTTATCATGATGTAACCATATCCTGCTTTATTCTACAATACTGCTGCTGTATATAACAGGATACATGCACAAACCATATTCATCCAAAGGCATGACTGGATGTCATGAAGCCTCTCAACGTAACTAATCACAATCAAAGAGCTTAATGTGTTGTATTTAATTTGAAATCTTGAAATAATTTTGCAATGTTTTTCAAGCAGGTCAAAAACAACAGAAAGTATAAACAGAAGAATTAGTTTTGGGAAACCCATTTTGAAAGTTATATCTGAAGGATCGTTACATCCACAGCCATTTAACAATGAATTTCCAAAACCAGACAGGTACATTGCAGCAAGAAGTGTATCGTATAAAAAATTTTATTGCCATATCAGATGATTGGCTCTTACTAGCAATCATGCAAGCTTTACCATTTTTTTAAAACCTGCAACTAAATAGCAGCATTCCTCCCTCAAAGACAGCACTTCTAAGCTGATCTTTACAAGTGACTACTCCCTGTTCAATAAAAGCAAGGCCAAACAGCTGCCCCATCAGGAAATAACTTCTGGAAAGCAATTTCTGATTCATACAGCTGAATGATCATTACCAAACTATATTCACTGTCTTGATTCGTACGTCTCCCCTTTAAATTAAACTAATGTTTGTAATTCACATTGGAGATTAAAAGCATTTCTAAGTATTATTCATCCTATTCTTCAATATACTCCATTGGCTCCAATGTTCCTTTTGTCTGTCTCTCTCTCATCTCTTTCAGCGTTCCTTCAATCTTGTCATGACATCCTACGGTTCCAAAAATAATTGGATCATCTCCATCCAAAAGTAAATTTGTCCTTATTTATCTTCTAAGTATTAATATCATAAACACTGAATTTTATCTGCCACTTTGTTGCCCCGTCACCTCCTTTAGTGAGAGCCCTTTGTAACTCTTCACAGTTAGCTTTGAACTTAACTATCTTGAATAATTTTGTAATGTCTGCAAATTTTGCCAACTCACAGTTCACCCCTTTTTCCAGATCATTTCTGAAGATGTTGAACAGCACTGGTCCCAAATACAGATCCTGGGAGGATCCAAGGGGACCCTGCTATTTACTGCTCTCCACTGTGAAAACTGACCGTTTGTTCCTAGCCTTTGTTTCCTATCTTTTAATCTGTTATTGATCCATGAGAAGACCTTCCCTCTTATCCCATGGCTGCCTACTTTGTTTAAGAGACTTTGGTGAGGGACCTTGTCAAAGGCTTTCTGAAAATGTAAGTACACTATATTCACTGGATCCCCCTTGTGCACATGTTTGTTGGAACCCTCAAAGAATTCTAATAGATTGGTGAGGCATGTTTTCTCTTTACAAAAGCCACGTTGACTCTTCCTCAACATATCTTGTTTATCTATGTGTCTGATAGTTTTGTTCTTTACTGTAGTTTCAACCAGTTTGCCTGGTACTGAAGTTAGGCTTACGGGCCTGTAATTGCCAGGATCGCCTCTGGGGCCTTTTTAAAAAATTGGCATATACACAATTGGAACTCTTCTATATTTACAAATCGTTTTATTAATACATTTAGCACAGTCACAAACACCCCAACTTGGTAATGTGCAGGGCCGGCTCCAGGGTTTTTGCCGCCCCAAGCGGCGGGAAGGAAAAGAAAAAAAAAGCTGCGATCGGGATCGGTGGCAGCTCCACCGCGCCGCTTTCTTCTTCGGCGGCAATTTGGCAGCAGGTTCTTCCCTCCGAGAGGGACCGAGGGACCCGCCGCCGAAGAGCCCGACGTGCCGCCCCTTCCCCTTGGCCGCCCCAAGCACCTGCGCATCCATATACTCATACCATCCCTTGTAGAATAACCTGAAATATTAGCTATTATCTTCCTCATTACCATCACCTTCTCCTTCAGCACAAGTGCCCATTATTTTGGCACCTCCCAAGGACTACATCTCCTCCCTACTGCCCCTATGCTGTGATACAACGTTTATAATATGTTACGCTGTCACCACTATGTTTGATGCATATTTAGTAGGGGATTTTCCCCTTTTCTTTATTTGTATTTTTTAACCTTACTAATGTCAGACTGTCTTTTTTTTCCTATAGGTTAGTATATCAATTACTTCAACTTATTATATACGTTAATTTGTTACCATGACCCCTTTTAGGTATCTGCGGCTGTAAGTCGTGTACCTGTTATATACGTCAATTTATTGTCAGGATACTCTTGTGGTTGGATCACATGCCTGTGGTCAGAACTTCCCCTTAAACACTCGATTTTTAGCCTCCCAATACTGGTGTTTCCGTTGGCCGTTTATCTGTTCAAAGTTCATAGACCTCAAGTCTTATGCTAACAGCATACAGGCCTGTAGGTTCCTTACATATAATGCAAAGCAGAATATAATGCAAAACAGTGCATATAATAAAGGCAAGCTAGCCCACTGGGCTACAGGCATTATATTAACTGCCCTCCAATCACCTGGGACAGAGACTGATTTAAGTGACAGGTTACATACCACAGTTAGTAGTTCTGCAATTTCATATCTGAGTTCCTTCAGAACTCCTGAGTGAATACCATTTGGTTCTGGAGATTTACTACTGTTTAATTTATCAATTTATTCCAAAACCACCTCTATAGATACCTCAATC